CACAGAGCAAGTGCTATGTGCCTGTAACGATCACATGTTACAAGAATGAACTTTTAAGTGTCTAAATTTGTATTTTGTGAGAGTTATTAGAACTCTCAAAGGGGGAACTGTTGGATTACAAATTTATAAAATGTTATATCTATGTTCCAATGTAATAGTATATAAACTGAAAAAAAGGTACATTGTGTTTTACATTTTGAGGTAAAGATGATGACATTCTAAGAAGATCAAGTCAGGCAGCCCAGGTGTCTGAGACATTAACCTTTTGTCTTTATGCACTTCCTGACCATTGGGCAGGGTCCCAAGTTAAAGGTGAATGCTAAGCTCAAGGCACAGCTGTGCCTTTGTCTCTATGATAATGTGAAGGTATGGGCGATACTGTCAGGCTGATTGGATTAGCACCTATGCATTTGAATGACACTGTTATGCTGATGAGATCAGGGCTGGAGAAATTCTGGCAACGGGCTCATTCCTGTACTGCATTTGCATGCTTTATTTAGATTGTCTCCACCTCTATGTATCCCTCCCCCTTGAAAGGTATAAACTCTACTGTGCTGAGCTATAGTCAGACTTGGATGACTGCAGCGACGCACAGCAAGTCCTCAATAAAGAGTAACTACTGTATGAAAGATATCCCAACGTCTCCTGGTCTCTGCTTCGAAGAGGAAAAGGTTTCCTACAATATTCAAAAATTATATTTTAATGCATGAACACAAAAGAAACTTTACAGACATTCCTTTTGCAGTACTGAATTTGATTTATTTCAACTGCTAGTTTGCAGCAGCTCCATATCAGTGTAACTCTCTGTTGAGGTGCTATGTAACATAGAAAGATTATTAATAAGTGCTCACTATGATTTTAATAGATACGTCCTGAAACTAAAAGAACTAAAGTCCCATTCATGTATGTGATGAAAGAGTGAAATAGCTTTCACATTGACTTGCTTTTTGTGAAAGGGAAAACAAGTGTTTGAGGTTTACAAATTAAACAAGACCAGTGATAAGCTTTTCTTAAAGTCTACAAAAAAAATAAAAAAATCAGTTATGTGAATACCAGTTCTACTGTGTCACATTAAAGCACTGAAATGAGTAAGACATATATAAATACCTTGCTGTGTAGCTGAAGTTGTCTCAGGGGTTAGGGTAATCTGTTTCTCTGTATAAGGTGGAGGATTTTAGTTCTGATGCATCATATTTTATAAAATACATCTTAGCCCTGTTTGACTTCATTGTTCATTGACTGAAGATGTGTGTCAGTGATCATGTACCTTGTTTTGTAGGATCTGCTGCTGGAGTTTGGCTTGATTTCTTCTCAGAGTTTGAGCGGCTGACTGTATTCAGTGTTGAACCCATTAGACCTGCAGAAGATGAATGTTCAGATGCATCATATTGTTGAACACAGTGTTAATTTTGACAGCAAATTTTGATTTAGTTTTAGTCATAGTCTTTTGACTAAAATGCCATTTAGTTTTAGTCCTATTTTAGTCATCTGAATTGTTTTTAGTTTTAGTCGACTAAATATCATAAGATTTTAGTCGACTAAATCGACAGTGAATTTAGTCGGCTAAAATCGAATGGGTTTAGTTACAGTGTAATGCATTTATTAAGCATTTCTTAAAAATTTCCAAACTCATTATATAGGTTTGATATTAAGGTTTTATCATGATAGACGCTGATTTAACTGTTGTGACACACAAAATGCCTTTATGTTAAAATTAAATAAAACCACTTCTCACAAAGAACAAGAACAGAACGTCTACTTTTTAATGAAATACCAGTGGTTATATAGGCTAATTATGCATTCTTTATAGCAACTTGTTTACCATATTCTTCATTCTTTCAAGCAGACATATTTATTTCTGTAAATACATTTAGATTAATCTTTAAGGCTACTAAAGTTTTTCAGTCAAGAGCGGTGCGTGATTTTCTGTCTTTCTGTTGTTGCTCAGAAAACCAGACCGAATTGAGTTCTCTCTTGCGTCGTCAGATTTATGCATATGTCTGCTCTTCTCTTACTCCCACATATTGAAATTTTTTGAACGTTTTATGCGACGTGCAGCAAGTGTATTTTAGCTTATGTCCCGCCGGTTCATATGTACGCATAACCTCCGAACCACGCAGCAGATTCGTTCTGAATGAATCTCATCCCAAATCGTGCCTCCCTAACATTTTTGTCTCGTTTTTATTCGTTGACGAAAATGTCAATAGATTTACGCCATAGCTTTTGTCATTCAAAAATAGTTTTAGTTTGTTATCGTCTTGTTGTCGTCGGTGAAAAAAATGTCATCAACATTGTAGTTATTCGTCAATGAAATTAACACTGGTTGAACATTAATATCATATCGTCATACTTAATCAAATTTCACATGATATACAGTTTGTGTTCATTTATCAACATTATAAAACGTTATATTATATGTGAGTAAAACACAGTGATCTGCAGCCTATAAACCTTCAGTTGGTCGTGAATCAATGACATTATTATTCGGCATGTCATGTCTCTCAGAGATTCTTCTGAAATTGATTAAAGAAATGTAGTTTCTTATCTGAATACATGTCAGTGTATCTGACTGAGGTCTTCAGGTAACAGTAAACATTCATCTTAACAGCTGATTATGTACCTGGTTGTGTAGGAGCTGCAGTTGATTTAGAGCTGGTGACTGGAGATGGTGTCTTTGTTTCGGTTGGAGCTGTAAAAGATGAAGGTTCAGATACGTCATAGACTACGATCATATTTAAATTACTGATGATTAATTGTTAATATAAATAATTTACTTGGATACTTGACAGTATATGTGGCAGAGGTCTTCAGCTGATTTCTCTGTTTAGCCTGACATCTCCACTCTCTGCTGTGATCTTCATTCAGGAGTGTTGTAGTCAGAGAGCTGATACACTGTTCTGAGGAGAATGATATCTGAAATCTGGAGTCTGTCTGCAGATTCACACCAGCCTGATTCACCCAAATCAGCTGAAGTCCCTCAGAACCGACCAAAATATCACAAGTGACTTGATCATAATATAACTGACATGAGAGAGTCACAGAGCTGCCTGATCTGATCTCAGACTGTGAGGATGATGAAGAGACTGAAACAGAAAATCAGACAGAGATTACACCACTGATTTCAGTCTTTTCAGGGAAACGAACATTACTTTTAATTACGTTTAATTCAACATATAATCATATATAATTCCACAATAATTCACAGAAACACTGACCATGAAGAACATGCAGATAAACATATACATCAGTTCCTTGTTGTTCTTCATTCACATATTGTCGGCAGGAGTAAAATCCATAATCTTCTTTTGTGACTTTCTTGACGTTCAGAGAGCAGTCAGAGCCCAGACTCAGTCTCTCATGTCTCTCTATTTCATTCTTCTTTATCCCTCCAGCAATCAGTTCAACTGTCCCTGAATGTCTGCTATAGCTCCATGTAGTTGATGTGCAGTCAGAAAGAGCATTATTACAGGACAGACGGGCATTTTCACCAGAACTGCAGAACACACGAGTCACTTCTGCTCCACTGCTACCTACATATTGAAACATTTATATTTACTCTTTTGTCCTGTTTTAAGCAGAAAATGAACAATGCAGAGTAAACTGGTGTTAAATAGCTTACAGCAGTTTAATTTACTTCATCGGATGCGACATGCAAAGTTGTTTGAACATGAATGTGTGTTGGCAGTGTGTGTACACAACCACCCTATAATGATAAAAGTTCCACCCATGTGTTTTTTTTTTAAATCTCGTTAAATAATTTCCTCTTTCTCAAATCGAGCTGATCTCAGATGCCTGATTCAGGGCAGATTGAGTGCTGCTCAATATGTGTCTGCCTGTCACCATAGAAGAGAAAACAAACACACAGCAGTTCTTCTGTTCTCCTAACAGATACGGCAGTTTCTCCTGGTTTGAAAGAGTTTTAAAATGTCTGATGGATCTGCTGTATTTTATCATATAACACTGTCCATATATCTGTGTATTTGGAGCAAGTGCAGTTCTGTTTCCATCTGATTCAGATCAGAGTGTGAACACAGTCTCTGCTCCGGTGGCAGCCATGTTTTTCTGTGTCTGCCCGTCTCTATCATCAGCTTGTGTCCGCTGAGTCTGTATCTGGTCAACGTGCTTCTCAGTTTCTTCTCTGACACCGTGTACAGATACTCTGCCATACTGTACTCTCTGTTTAGGGCCAAATAGCAATGTATTTTACTCTGCTGTTGTGTTTGGGTTTGCCAGTGAGTGATGTAATCCTGTTTGATTTGTGCAGTAATCTGATTCTCTCTCTCTCTCGCGCACATGCGTGAGCGTTTGCTGAGTGAGTCTGGAGAGCGTTTGTGGTGAGTTTGAGTTTCGTTGAGCATGAGTGGAATTTTTGTGACTGCTGTGTTAGGAATAAGCATTTACTCTCTACTTTTCTATCCTTTTTCTTTCTCTGTGTTAAATTTATTTTTTTGTTTATTAAGGATAGTTTTGTTGGTGTGTTGATCTGGGCCACGTGCTACCTGTATTCGGGGAAGCATGGCGGCACCGGATTCACAGGCTTTGAAAAACAACAACGGCTGGCAGTGGGTTTAAAAAAAAAAAAAAAAAGCTTTAAGCCAGTTTCTTATGATGTTGAAGAAATTATAAAGGGCAAAGTTTTAAAAGTTAGAGCTTTATTTGAAAATCGTGTTTTTTTTTTTTTTAATGCTCCTACCTCAGGTGTTGAAAGAATGTTGTTTTTAGGTAGCCTCAATTCAACCCTACAGAATTGTAATGGTGAAGAGTTTTTGGTTTTGGGAGGTGATTTTAATTGTACAGAAGAAAATCTTGATAGGAATCACAATGAACCCCATGGCCCCTCCCGTAAGAGACTTATTAAAATCATTAAAATGCATGAGCTGTGTGATATATGGAGATATTTTAATGGCAATCTAAGACAATATACGTAGTCTCATACCCGTGACAATGTTCTATCTTTAGCTGGGTTGGATAGGTTTTACAGTTTTAAACATCAATCTGGTATTTTTAGCAAGTGTTTTATTATCCCTGTTAGTTTTTTTCTGATCATAGTATGGTGTGCTGTTCTTTTATTTTAAATTTAATTAAACCAATAGTGCTTACTGGCATTTCAATAGTGCTTTGCTTAACGATACAAATTTTAAAGACACATTTACATACTTCTGGGAAACGTTTAGAGCTACAAAGAGCTTTGTATAAACTTTTATTTATACAAAGACTTCTTTCGGGATCAAGTGCCTTTGGTTGGAGGGCTGCTGCATGTGCTATTTTAAGGAGTCTTGTAGGCCTACAGATGGACAAATCTCTTTTCTTTTTAGACCCCCTGAAACTGGATACTCTCAGAATGCCAACTTTTTAAAGTATGGAGTCTTTTTAATCTTCAAAGGACACCATGTATGGAATCACTTTTCTGGTTGTTAAATGAACCTATAGTACATGGGGTCCAATTGGATATTTCCACTGTTGACCGCAATCTTCCTGGACTTAATATTTTGCTTTGTAAATCCAGGATCACCACCCTTGGTCTGCTTTTAAATGTGCCTGGTCCTAACTTCTCGAACACTGAACAAGTAGCTTCCCATCTAGGTGTTTTTTTCAATACGTACAATTGCTCAACTGATGGTATAGTGGCAATCTGCTCTTACAAACGAGGAGAGACAATTATTGACAGGCTACTGTAAGGAGTAAAGGCTCCTAATGCTGAGGACCCTTTTCCGACCATATACTTGTCTCCCAAACTAGATGATTGTGTGGGTCTGTTTTTAAAAGCTGGGAAATCTTTGTGTGTAGATTTCTTCTCAGTCACAGGGAACATGTTGTACAAAATTTGTGTTTTGGTTTTTAATAAGGACATTTTAGACCGCAAAGTGGATACGCCATGGCATTCTTATTTTAAACTAGATGATCATGTTAAAGCTGAATGAGTAGGGGACATACAGTGGAGGGTTCTCCGTGGAGCAATTGCTGTTAATGCTTTTCTTTCTGTTTTAAATCCTGAAGTGAGCTCCGAATGCCCTTTTTGTTTTAATAGAGAAACTGTTTTTCATGCTTTTATGGAGTGTTCTAGACTAAAATCCTTATTTACTGTATTAGGAAATCTTTTTGACTCTTTTAATTAAATATTTTCCAAGGAAACTTTTATTTTGGGTACCAAGTATGTGCAGAAAAGACGTGTTGATTGTCAGTTACTGAATTTTATTTTGGGTCAAGCTAAACTGGCTATTTAGTCAAGTAAGAAAAATAGGAGCGAACAGAAACCTGGACAAAATGTTACGGTCTTGTTTTCAACTCTTGTAAAGTCTAGAGTGCTGATTGATTTTAATTTCTACAAGTCTATGGATAATCTTATGTCTTTTGAACTAAAATGGTGTAGCAAAGGAGCATTGTGTTCTGTGTTTGAAGATGAGTTGATTTTTACACATTTCCTGTAATTTATTTGTACTTTTCTATGAGATGATTTATATTTTGTAAACTGTTTTTTTGTATTTGAAATAAAGATAACTCTCTCTCTCTTTCCGTCTGCTCTGTTCAGCGAGCGGCAGAGAGGAGCAGCACTTTCAGTTAAAATAGATATGCATCTAATTTTAAATGCAAATATAGCCATAAATACGGCTCAGGAATTGTCTTTGTCTTTGCTTATGTTATGTGTATTTGATTTCATCAGACGACGGCTCGATTATAAATCAGGATTAACATCTTGGAAGGGAGAGCTGGTTATGTAGTTTTAAAGGGCCACATTTCAGTCACTATTTCATATTTATCCCGTTGACTGACAACAGAAACAGTAAATTATATAAATGAAAACAGTTTTATTGAGAATTTGGCTAAATTAAAATGCGGCGTGTGAGCACATTTAGAGTGTGTTCTTTCACTGCGAGATTCAGTCTGTTATAATGCATTTAGAATGATCACAAAATTGAAGATATAGGGACAGAAAATGTATTTATCTATATAATTTCATATAGTAAATCAATATCCCACGAAGAGTGCCGTCTTTTTCCTCCAAAAATCAGCATGATTACATATACATTTTTTTTACAACAGTTCAATAAACAAGAAGTTAATATTAAGAGACTTGCGTTTTAGACACAATATTGCCTGTTTTTGCTCTATTTCGACAACAAAAATAATTCCAAACACAGCCACCATAGCACAGTTTTGCGTCTCTGAGCAACAGGACGGTGTTTCGTTCCTGCATGAATCAACCGTTTAAATGATTCGGTTCAATAGCAGTGACTCACTTATTAACAGTGACTTGCTGACACCTACTGGTGGTTTTAATTTCACATTTGAAGGATCTTTTTTTATATAATTTAAAATGAGCATTCAACATTTTATGTCTTATATGTCAAAACATTTTAATTTTGTTGATACTGATTTAATTTGCCTGGTAACAGCCTAAATGGCGTATTATTCTAAATAACTGATTCCTTATTAAAAACAACTGGTTTGAGATTTATAGCCTTATCCCATTTTTGCCTCCCTCCCACTGTTAAAATGTATCTAAGTAATATTTACTCTGAGTAAATTTTAAATGAGCTACTTTTTACTTTTACTTGAGTAGATTTTTAGACTGGTACTTTTACTTGTACTTAAATAAAATTTCATTACTGTAATGGTACTTTTACTTGAGTAGAATATTTTCGTACTCTTTCCACGTCTGTAGATTACAATCTGCAACATACCGCGTAAGTAAACAGAATTTACAGCGTAACGTTTTTGAAATTATAGTGTACCTATTCAGTACCTCCGTGTACGTATAAGGGAATAATATGCTAAGTTTGGGGAATAAGGGGTGTAATAATCTGTAAAATTACAAATTATTTCTACAGTAAGTATTTTGAAACTAAGAGGTACCTATTCTAATATTATGTGGTATATATGACCTAACAACAATCTTATATTTCCAAGCGATTTAGCAAAAAACATACGCTGTACTTTTTTATAGCCTACACATATAAAACACACTGGTAATTGTTTCAATCCAAACGCTCGGTTGAGATTGTTGGGTATGAGTCCAAACATGAACGGTTCTGTGTGCAACGAAATCCGTGACTGTGGTGCTTAAGATGGGAACATGTGTGGAAAATAGGAGAAAACGAATCGAAGTGCGGACGAGGGACAACTTTGAAACTGTCTGGAGTGTGTTCCTTTAAAACTGGAGCAGGGAATGTGGTGCGCGCAAACTGGAAACAGAATGGCGCTTGAAACGATCGAGTCGGTGTTTGCGGCACTCATGACAGGAATATGTGTCAAAAATACAAGAAAACTAATCGAAGCGAAGAGGAGAGATTTTTTGAAACTGACTGGAATGTGTTCTTTTAAAACTGGAGGGATTTGTCTGAGTATGTTCTCACAACAAAACCATAAAACCGGGAACCGTGAACTAGTCAAAATGGTGCTTGAGGACGTGGATAAAAACGATAAAATCAAAGACGGTAAAATCCTGTCAGTTCGCAATAATACACAGTTTAATCTTGATTTTCAGTGTTTATTACTGTGTGTTTATTGGCGTGATGGTTTGGCCATAATAGTGTACTTTTGTCAGTGGGTGAAAAACATGAACAAATTGAACAAAATCTTAAATTTGTTCTTAAGCTTTTCAAAATAATTTATTTTAACTGTATAAGATGTATAAGTATGGAGTTGCTTTGATTTTTTTTGAACTGTTGTAATAAATTTTAATCTTTTATTATGCTATCTGTTGCCTGTGTTGTTACTGTTGTCATATTGTGTGTAATTTTAATAAAAACAAAATGAAAAAAAAAAATGTTGGGTTAATTTAACCCAGCAGTAGGTAACCCTATAGTAAATTTCAAACAATATTTGAATTAAATAAAACAGTCCACCTTGTTTATTGATAAATTACCTGATATATTATGTATGTATGACCTACTGTATAAACAATCGTTTCAGAGAAATTTGTTGTAGCCACTTACGTTACCCTGTAACTACATGGAACAAGGGGGGAACAATCACCACTTTAATTTACAGCCCGCAAATGTTGTATTTACCCTGTAACTACATGGAACAAGGGGGGAACAAAGCACCATTTAATTTACAGCCCGCAAATGTTGTATTTACCCTGTAACTACATGGAACAAGGGGGGGACAAGTTGGACTTAAACACAGAACAAGTGTATATTTACACAGTAATTACAGAGAAACATTTTAATTTAATTGTTCGATGGCCAAATTAAACCCTCTACATTTTTTTTTGTTGCTATAAAACACCACAGTATACATCCACTGAAATACCAATGTTGTATCATGTATTTTTTCTGCGAACAGCTGGAAAGAGGTAAGCTTATTTTAAGCTGCATTGAACCTTGATGGTATATCATGCAAAGTTATTTGGTGATAGTGGTGTTAAGAAGTTGCTGGTGTGAAGTTGCTGAGATCGACAAATAAGCTTTCATAATGTAAGTAGACTCATGCATTATAAATCATAGCAGAAACTCATTAACTCATTTCACTAGATGTCCAGTTTTGTTGTTCAGTAATCTCCATCATGTCCATCCTTTAATAATAGAATATGTACCCCATGGTTAAAAAATACCTATACACCTATAATAAAATACCAATATAAAATTATAAAAAGTATATATCGTCTTTCTAAATCATTCCCAAACATACGATTGTTGTTTAGGCCATACATACCACGTAATATTAGAACAGGTACCTCTTAGTTTCATAATACTTACAGTATAAATGATTTGTAATTTTACAGGTTGTTACCCCTTTATTTCGCAAACGCCGCATATTATCCCCCTACCTACACAGAATAGGTACACTATACAAAAAAGTTACGCTGTAACTTCAGTTTACTTACGCAGTTCTTTGTAGGTTGCATATCTGGTTGTTACCCCCTTATTACCCAAACGTAACACATTGTTGCCTTATACACGTACGTTCTTTATAGGTACACTATAATTACAGAAATGTACACTGTAAATTCAGTATACTTACGTAGTTCTTTGCTGGTTGTAATATAAAGCGTTACCAAACGGTGTTGTTTTACACTACCATTGAGAAATTTTAACCAAACTATATTACAGAATTTTCATTAAGACCCTAAAGAATCATATCAACTTGTGGAAAATGGGCATCCGATGACCCCTTTAACTTGAGCAGACCTTTGCATCACATTTATGAGTGTAACAGTATGACATACAACAGGGGTTCTCAACTCAAGGTACACTTTCCTGCAGAGTTTAGCTCCAACCCTAATCAAACACACCTGAACAAGCTAATTAAGGTCTTCAGGATTAGTAGAAAGTTACCGTTTTATCAAGGTTGGAGCTAAACTCTGCAAGAACATGGACCTCGTGGCCCAGAGCTGAGAACCTCTGACATACAAAATATCAAATGTGTGAAAAATGTCAAACACCTCATTCAGCCAAACTTATTTGCTAGAGTGATTCAATTAATTAAATTATTTTTTAAATGGTTTACGTTTTACAGATCTTTTATAGTGTATCATAGATCATAAACAGTATTCTTTACCTGTGAGAAGTGCACAGAGTATGATCAGTCCCAGCAGACACATGTGACGCTTATCAGCCATTTTCTGTTTCTGTCAGTCTTTCTTTCTTTTCACTCTATAGTTACAGCTCTTCCTTTAAACATCATCAACTCGTCCTGTGGGTGTTAACATCCTCTGATCTCACCAACTGACCATTTTGTCCTCACACTATACAGGTACATTTCACTCACACTATTCTGATGTGAAAAATCATCTATACTGTATATAGCAGTTAGGTTGGTTCAGATTCTAATTAGTGAAAGTGATGTGGCCAAGTATGGTGACCCATACTTGGAATTTGTGCTCTGCATTTAACCCATCCAAGTGCACACACACCCAGAGCAGTGGGCAGCCAATGCTGCAGCACCCAGGGAGCAGTTGGGGGTACGGTGCCTTGCTCAAGGGTCTCACCTCAGTCGTGGTATTGAAGGTGGAGAGAGCAATGGTTATTCACTCTCCCCACCGACAATCCCTGCCGGACCTGAGGCTCGAATCCGCAACCTTTGGGCTACAAGTCCAACTCTCTATCCATTAGGCCACAACTGCCCCAACACTTAGCAAAGCAAAATAAATGTATACAGCAACTGAAAAGTGGAAAACTAGAACATTTGTTTAAAATTTTGTAAAAAAATACAGAAAATCAGAAAAAATAATTATGAACTAAAATGAGAGTATAAAGATCATCATTTAATTGTTGTGTTTCTCCAAAAATAGAATGTAATAGAACATACATTATTATTATTATTTAGGGATGCACCAATACCGATACTAGTATCGGTATCGGGCCCGATACTGGTCTCCTGTACTCGTACTCGTTAAAATGCCCCGATACCAAACACCGATACCACACAACATGTGATAAGTGCCATATTCAGACAAAGAAACACTGACAACAGAACAACAGACAACAGAATGGCGTTATTAGAGATTAAGGATGTGTACGAAGTATATGTATGCAATAAATATAATGTTAAACCTTCAGTATTAACGCCTGTATAGCTGATGTGCGCGAGCTGATAAACAAAGCACGCTGAGTGGATTGAGCGCGCGGCGGCGCAGATGCGCGAGCTTGTCGAGTGAATAGATCTTTCTCACAGACATCACTGGAAAGTTTGTAGTTCAGTCGGAAATGTCATAAACAAGTAAGCAAAACAATGCACAAGTTACTTAACGGTAGAGAGAGAGAGAGAGAGAGAGAGAGAGAGCACGAGCGCACTTCTGTTGTGTGATCTTTGATGTTCACTCAGCACACGTATCATTTGGATTCAAACTAAATCATAAAAATAAGACCATTCATAGAGGCATTCACTATAAACATCATTTATATTCAATCTTAGGCATACACGACTTTCTGGCGAAAGTGAATCTAGCAGCCTGTGTGTAATGCGCTCGGCTGTACTATTCTGCACTAGTACAAATATGTGCACGCGTTGAGCGTGTTTTGCTTGCTTGAGTGTTTCTGCATTATATGAGTGGCTTTGGAATATAAATCGCAGCACGT